AATCTCTTCAGGTACTTTGGTTTAGATAAATTACACCTAACAAGCATAGACAATTGCATACACAAATTTATTTATTCATGTTCACCGATTCCTAAAATGATTAGATTCGCATTCACTATTACTAATCCTTTAGAAAACAAGTCAATTCAAATAGTGATCAGTTGATTAAACTAACATGTTTCCTAGTGTTCAGTTCGTATCAAGCAAGACTTGTAATAATAGTTAATCAAATTGGTCGTTCAATTAACCTCCTATTGATGATCATCAAACAAGGATCACACGTTAACTTATTTATTTCCAAGTTAATCCTAGGTTCACGTTCACTATTCTTAGACTTATAATCTTGATGGTCATCAAAGTTATAAGACACAAGCAATCAAGCAGATGTTCATACAACTTAATTTACTTGACAATTAACAGCAAATAATTATCATTAACACATAAGGATCTTTTAACAAGCTTGGCAAGATAAATTAAACATAAACAAACAATTCAATATAGAAATTAGTCCAATAATCAAGGTTTCATTCAATCATAAACACAAAGTAAAACTTTTTTACACCCAAATCAGAAACTAAATACATAATAGTAACACAGTGGAATGCTAAACATGGTCACGTTAACAACCCACATGATTACCAACACGTATCTGCTCTCCAATCCTTCCGATCTCCGCCCCCGTTAGCTTAACGGCCTTCTGCCCGCCTTCTAGACCCTCAAAACGGCTTAACAGAAGTTAATTATCGACTAAATTAGGTTAGAAGTCAAATCCCCCTTTCTGGTTAGCTAATAATCGCTTTTTATAACCCTTGGAACCGACTTACGTACGTTGGGCGTAAGTCGGATTACGCTGGGCGTACATAGAAACTTGTCGCAAAGAGGTTATCCGGATGCAAGCCGTTACGCTGGGCGTACATATAGATTACGCTGGGCGTAACCTTTGTTTTGCCATTACGCTAAGCGTTCTAGTCAATTACGCTAGGCGTAATCGGCTCCTCCAGTATTTTTTTCTTTCTTTTAGCCTCTAAGCCCTAATTCTGCTCCAGTCTTTTCGTTTGTGCTCTATCAACAACTAATAGTTGCAAATCATAATTCAAAGCATTATAAGTACTTTTTAGTTCTAAAGAGAATAATAAAGGCTAAAATATTAAGATATAATACATAAAAGTATATATAAAAATACACATATCAGAAACCAATACCGGCTAGGTCAAAGTCATCTCGGCGATCGGCTTCGAGTTCAAAATCAAGTGCCGAGGCACCCATCCGATCCAACAAGATATGGGTTAAACCCAACTACAAATGGGTTCCGAAAGCTCAATCTCCCAAATCAACTAATGACTCTAATATTTCTACATCCGCTGTTTGTGATAAACAGGACATGTCGTGGGAGAATGTATCTTGCGTAGATGACAAAGGTCGACCCAGTTTCAAAATGGACTGGGATCCAAAGACCAACTGATCCCGCTCTATTTTAGAGCAGCTATGGAGGCATATCATCAAACTTCAGTTTGTTGGTAGTGGCTGTTCCAAGCACAGATAAGGAAGATCTCTCAACTGTACAACATTCAGACCTTTATTTGAGAGTGTGTGTCCTTTTGCGGGAAATGAGGAAAGGAAGAGATCACAAATGGGGTTAGTGCTTAATGACATGAAGAATTTTCGGATCTATTCTGAGATTATGCGTGACGTTCTCAGACCTTCTGGATGGAAATTCAATTGGTGAATTACAGTTTGCGTTTTGCTCTCTATACTCCTGAGTTTATCTTAAACTAATTCTTTTCAAAGACAATTTTTTCATTTTCTTATAGTTTTTCGTTAGTAGATATTATTTGGGAAGTGATATCAAGCAAGTGATAACGGGCAGTCTAAAACCAATGTAAGGGACTGAATCTGAATTGTCTAGACTCTGTGCTCAATGTGCTGGTAGGAAACATAGGGTTTTCTTGTCAGTCTTTCAAACTTGTTCACTTGTCAAAGAAGTTTCTTACTTTAAACTAAATGTTATGCACTCACCAGCTTTATAGCTAATACTCACTTTCAAAATACTTGTATTCCCAGGAATATATTAAGACATGTATCCAACCGGAGTTCGTGAAGACGGAGCAATAGTTTCTCGTCTTATATTTCGACACTATTATGCTATAACAACATGTAATGTTTTGAACTCGATGTAAACACTTTTACATATATATTAAAGAATGTTGTTGCTTTGATTAACATTATTCAATTGTTGTGATACTACATATGACATCCTCCACCTCGAATGTTTCCACTGTTCCGGTTTTGGGGTGTGAAAGACACTATTTCCAACATTTGTAATAGGCACCAATTGAACTCCAAATAGAAGGATTTACAGGCAAAAGTAAACAAGTTCAATTGCATCTACATAAACAAATGCAACATGCGTACAAGCAGGAGATCAAACTTCGATGTGTTAAAGGTGACACAATGACATCCCCAATTTTTGCTTTCAAAACAATGTTATCTTTGTTTACGGAAAATCCTAGTATATTAAAACATTTTACAGAAGTTGTCCCATTTTATTAAAATATCTTGAGTACAGATGTTGTTTCAAAATATATAACCTTAAGGATGTCATATTCAATACACAACATAAGTTACAATGTAAAGACCTAACAATCCTTAATACTATTGTAGGTTGTCTCTTAATCACTCGACATCCTAATCAAGTTCGAACAACTTTAGTCATGCTGCCTGTGATGCATATAGTTTGAGTGAGTTGGTTTAGGGAAAAAAAACTAGTGAGACACATAGGGTTTCCAATCCTACAATATTTAATGATAATAAATCATACGTATTAACCCTGAAAAATCAATTGTTACCAAATAAGATAGATATATAATCCAAAAAAGATATTTATAAAACACTACACCCTTACATACCTAGCCCAATCGATTCTCACAAATCATAGTCCACGATCACCTGATGAGTCATTTAGAACAATGGTATGACTACACAATTAGAGGGTTCCTTGGATGGTGTAAGTCATAAAGCCAACCCAATCCATCAGAGTTTTTGATAAATTTGTTATCATATTTCATATAGGTTTGTGGGGTATAAGTCCACACTAGCAACATAATTCACAAGATTAATATGTTATCCAATTTCATATAGATTTGTAGGGTATAAGTCCATACTAGGAACATAATTCACAAGATTGTCTAGAATGATCAAATGTTGTTATCTTACTCTGATAGATGACCAAACACCAAACACACATTTTGGTTGGTAGATGGTATTTCTCAAACCTATCGTTCCTTGAACTATATTAACTAATAAAGTGAACTTAAGTAAGCCCACACACAAATGGTTAAACACGATATTTGGTTTTTAATATGAAAATATGAGGATGAGAATACCTTATTTACAAAGAGTCTGTACCCTTGTTTCTTATATATTTGATTAGCTCTAATAAATGAAGGTTTTTTTTTTTCCATATGTCATACTTTCATTTAAATTGTCAAATGTTATTTTGTGGTTATTTTAAATTAATTTTTTTTCTACATGTTATTTCATGAGTTTTTTTTTAATAAATTTCACATAATACTTTAATATAATAATTATAATAAATATAGTAATAAATAAATATCAATTTTATTAATAGACTTCCCTTTTAATTTTAAAATTCTCAAAATTAAAGATTATTAATTTCTTTTTTATTTAATTTTAAAAGATAAAAATATTTCCATCATAATAATTTATTATTTTTCTTATTTTCTTATAAATTCAACATTCTCAAATGTTTTAACCATTATATTTAAACTTTTTTTAAATTAACTAATGCAATACATGGGTGTTACAATTAGTTAACTATATATTAAAAGATAATGTCAAGTCTCCATTGATAATTTGTACATTCACTTTGGAAAATGATATTTTTCATCCATGTCACTTTGACCTTCTTCCATTTTATCATCAACAATTTGTATTTGTCTACTTTACAAAATTATATTTTTCATCTTAAAATTATATTTTAATGTGACTTTAAACCCTTCAGTTTTGAACTTTGTAAAATGTCACTTTGGCCCTCTCTCCATTTTATAATTTTTTGTGTTTATCCCCTTTAGTATACATAATATGATTTTCCTTAATAGCTTTCATTCACTAACTTAAAAAAGACTAATTATTTACGTTCTTATTTTTATGTATGTGTCGGTATAAATTCAAAGTACTCAATGTTTCGATGTAAATTTAGAACTTTCGTCCGTTTTTTTTAACCTACTTGTTTTTTATGTAAATTCGAGTTTGTCTATGGTTTAACGTATTTTTTTTTTATGTTTTTCGTGTTTATTTTTAGTTACCTCTAGAAAAGAAACTATATTTTCGTTTATTTTCAACATGTAGCAAACTTTTTCCTACTTTTTAAATCCATAACTGTTGCCACAATGTGTGGCGGATAAAATCCTGGTTTTATATTAATTACGTCATAAGAAAAATAATAGGTACCATATATAATTATTAAATATATTAAATTCGGTATGGTGGTTATTTTTGACTTTTGAAAAATATAAACCCGCAACGCACCAAAAAACTATGGTTGTTGGAGATTTAAAAACCACACGGTTAGTTTCTGTCTCCATTTCAATTAATTTGGTTTTTTCGATTATTTTTAATTACGTTTTGGTTTTTGCTCACCCCTAGTACAATCTGCAACGCATAAAACAATTTCGAACTTTCCTTTCACAGTGCGAATTGTGGTTTTGTCTCTACACTACATAATTAACACCCTTATCAATAACAATATTGTTTATGTCAAATTACTATTTGCTATTTCATCTCAAAATAGGTACACGTTCTTTTTGGTAAATATTCCCCCATTACGTAAATAATTGTTTAAATTAGGAACTTGTAATAGTCGAGAACGCTCCAGTTTCAAACCCAAATTCATGAAAAGAATTTGTGGAGTCACGAGCACAAGTGAGTACCTCATTAACTACATGTTGGAAGCCGCTCCTACTCTTGGAGGAGCCTATACACAAAATTTATGTCATTCTTTCTTATTTTGCATTTAAACACCCTTTCTCACTACAAATAGGAAAGCTCCACTCTACAAACTTGGAAGCAACTAGAGGGGTTAAACATGGGTGGCGTGCAAACTAAAGGGGGGCATCATGCGAATAATGGTTGTGAGGTAAGAATCTTGAGAGAGAAAACAAAGCTTCTGCAACAAAAGCTGGAAGAGGTGATATCACTGAGAGGGACCGAAAATGAAGTTTACGAACAAGAAATGATGGTTCATGCGCTGAAAGAGTCTGAATGGAAGCAAGAGAGGAAATGGCTGCAAAGGGAAGTGAAGAGGTTGAAGAAGGTGATGGAAGAGAAAGAAGAAAAACACAGAAGAAGAGAGACGTCGATGATGGAGAAAAAGAGTGAGAAAATGGCGTTGCAGGAATTGCAGACGGATATGGTGTTGGAGCAGATGAAGGAGGAGAGAGAGCGACGGGATGAAGCGGTTGAGAAGTGGAAACGATTGTATTTAGCAATCAAGATTGAGCTTGATAATCTCATCAACACAACCCATCAAGGTAATTAATACATTAAAGATACACTTCGGAATTGAAATTGAAACTCCCGTTCACTACTGTTGATTATTTATGCAATATACCCGCGTAAAGGAGTCGTTCTTTCAAGAATAAGGAGCAAAATCCACTTTTAGCGTCTACAATTTTTTTTAATGCTATTTCATTTCGAAATCGAAAAAAATAATGAAAGATCTTGTTATCTGTTATGAGAAATTTTCACCTTCAACTTCTTCAATAGTATTTTTAAAATTACAAATTTTAAAAGCTTTTCCAATCATTGTTTTTGTCTTTTAGTTAAGTTTAAATAATGTGATAGTATAATTCAAAATTTTGGTGGGTTTCATAAATATATATTGACGAAAAAGCTCTACTACGGAGATCCGAGATCGGAGATGTAATTTTTTTTTTTTTTTAATTATTCTTGAGATGTCAGGGAATAAAAAATGAAAAACTCCATCGACCATTTGTGCAGAATGATCGATCATGTGATGCTAATAAAACTTGCAGGAAAAACATCATGGAGAGAAGATGACGATTATCTGATCCACGAGCTACAAAAAGAGCTGAGAGCTAAAGAAGAGACTATTGAACTTTTACAAGCACACATAGCTTCCATAGAGCAAGAAGAATCAAGAAGGGAACGTGAGTTGGACATATTGAGACAAAGCTTGCGTATCATGAACCACAGGAAGAAGCCAAAACATATCTCCAAAGAAATTTACAACACTAAAATCAAACTCAAAGTTTGATAAAATCATGTACAAGCATTTTTAGTTTTCCATCATAACAATCTTTCGTTTACTATACTTCTTTGACTGATGAACTACCCCCATCAACAGATTTTGTATTTGTTCGATAATTCAATCTGACATTCTGAAAAGGAAAAAACAAAAAAACGTAAAATATAAGATTTTTTTTTTTAATAAATATGGAGTGATATCTAAGTCTAGACTACAATTACAATACCTCAAGCAGAGAAACATAATAAAAATCTTCCATATGCTGCATAAGGGCAGTCCCGTCTCTTATTGAACGAAAAATGTTTATTTCCGTGTTCAATATTTTTTCAATCAGTTCCTTTTCGCCTTTCATCTGTGAAAAAAATATTCACAGCAATTAATCTTAAAATTTGGCATATAACTAATTGCAAAGAGACTTACAAATTCAGTGACAAGAACATCAGGGGTGGATTCCCCAATAACATCACCTTCATAACCATCTCCCAAAAGCTCCATGCTTTCCTACAAATAGTTGAAATAATCAAGCTTTATACTAACTCTAACATATTCTGTTTTCCTGAAATTACAAGGAAAAATACCAAGGCATTTTCTACATCTCCAGTTGCTAGATATATAGGTTGAGCTACATGGCAATAACCCATCAAACGAGGTACAGAAGGAATAATATCTCTGTGATTCACAACTCTCCAGCTGTCTTTAACTTTCTACAATGCAAACAACAAAAATCAAAAACTTAACACCAAACATCTTTTGATGCACTGAAAGGGAGATTACCTCGTTATAAATTTGAGCAAACTTTTTGTTACCAACTCTTGGAGATCCAAAGTTATACATAGTTACATAAACAGCCCCTCGCCTAGTGAATCAAAAGAGACAAAACAAAATGTCACACTCAAACGGATGAATAAAAGACAATGATGATTCACCAAATGTTTATAAAAAAAACTGACTTTGCTAATTGACTGGAGGATAGTTCGAGAGCAAGCAAAGTTGCTAATGCACCACCTAAACTATGACCAGTTACATAAACATGCCATTTGGACACCTCATCACCACCATCATCTTCATCTTCATCTTCATCCCTGTTTTTGTAATTAATTAATATCAAGCACATCACGCAAATATATATAATAATAATAATAATAATAATTAAAAATAGCATTCTGCTTACTGGTAGCCAATAGCTGTTTTGATAAGAGAGAGAATTCTTGTTCTGACCGAGTCGTAGGCACTTAAAAATCCAGAGTGAACCTGAAAATTATCTTATAAGAGATATATGGAATCATAAGAAAAATAATAATACTAATAAATATATATATACCTGAACTTCTTCCTTAAAGTCACCACCTATTCTCTCTGGATTTAGCCTACAAAAGTTAGACAAGTGTCACATTCTCATAGTCATAGTAGTCCCATATGTTTGACCTATTTTGTGTTTGGGGTATTCTAGTCATCTCCTAGTTCTAAGTCCAGTAGTATAAATAGGAGGTTTTTAAGTCATTTACAGAAGAAAATTCAGATGTTTTAAGTGTTAATTTATCATATGATAATTAGACCTTCTAATTTGTAATCGAAAAGAAAAAGTCAAAATCTTTATCACCTCCATTGTACATTCACTATTTTATTGATTTATCCACTTAACTATATCTGCAGTGACTAAATCATTATACTTTTTTGAGTGAATTAACAAATGGTCCCTATACTTTTTGATTTTTGTGTCTATAGTACAAAAATGAAACATTTTCTATTATTGGCCGTTATTTCAAGGTTTCATAACGATTATAGTCCTTATTTCAAGATCCCGGAGGTTAAAACTTAAAACCAACATGAAACTTGAAAAAAAACACCAACTTTGAAAAAGGTTCTCGGTTTTGGACTAAACACGGTAAAAATCAGAAAGCACAGGGACCATTTTTGTAATTTACTCTACTTTTTTGACAGTTCAAAAAAACCAATTTTCTCAGTAACCCGGTTTTGATGCCAGGGAAAAATTACAAAAAAAGCATTAACTTGGCACCTATACTATTTTTTTTAATCGATTTAGCCACTAAACTATTGTTTTTTGTCGATGTAGCCAATGAACTATTATTTTAATTAAAATATATATATATATATATATATATATATATATATATATATATATATATATATATATATATCTCAGCAGCTAAAGTAAACCGATAAAATGGTGAAAGTATTTGCATTCTTCTTTTTGCATTTTTTCCAAACCAGTTAGCAACAGAAAAATGTTTTTTCTCTAATGGACAATAAAGTATAATATTCAATCACTACAGAAAAAAAGAATATAGGTGATGAAAATACAAAAAATAAATCATACAAAAAAGACAATTACCCTGCAGGAACCATCATTAAATCAGTTCGCAAATCCTTCCATCTAACCTGGATTAGCATTTAGCCAACGAATCAAAAAATAAATAAATAAATAAACCATTTTATATATATATATATATATATATATATATATATATATATATATATATATATATATATATATATATATATATATATATATATTTCACTAGCATTGACATCAGTTGACTTACTTGCTCTGTTCCCCTGAAGGCAACAACTAATCTTTTTCGCGCAGAATCACGCCAAATTGCCACCTACAAAGTCAACTCACTTGATGACACAAATAAATAATACATTCACTGTTGAAAAAAAAATTAAATAATAATAATAAGATTGACCTGTGTATCTGTGACAGGATTATCCAAGAAACATATCTTCTCAAACTCTGATTTTATAAAACTTGAGTGACCTAACGAAGTGGCCAACATTGCCCAAGCCTCCATTGCACTCTCAGCTGTTGAAAACAAAGCTCTCATTTCCTCAGCTTTTTTTTCATCCAAAACCAGTTTATCAGAATCCTCCTCTTTGGAATCATCCTTTGTTAACTCAGTAACTGTAGCATTCAGAACCATTAAAGCTCCCAAGATGGAATCAGTTTGTTTTAATAACTCTTGTGTCGCCTTCTTTATATCAGGAAATGCCAACTGAATAGCTGTAATAGCTGAACCATTATTATTATTATTATTATTATTATTATTATTAATCTTTTCATCATCATTAACAGAATCTTGACTACTGCTTGGAGTTGCAAGCCCAGCTTCTATATAACCTGCTTCTGCAACACTCTGTGACTCAAGTCCAATTTTGCTTAAAAAATCAAACCCTTCCCACTTAATCTTTTCAGGAGCTGGAAGACCAAGTTGCTTAACTACATTCTCACTAATCGTATCACCAAAAGTCTTCCAAAAATCTTTGTCAGATTGTGAGGCGTTTTTGTCAGAATTCATTACATCTTTTTGGTTGCTTTCAGATTCTACAGAATTCACCAATTGGTTTTGGTTGCTTTCAGATTCTACAGAATCTATGTCTGTAGATATGGTGGAATCTTGTGCATTAGAAACATTGGTATTATCCCTTTGGATGTATGCATCATTTATAGACTTTAATTGACCAAAAGCATATTCAACGAATTGGCTTGCTTGTACAGGTTCTGAGCCAATAACTTTTCTCAAAGTAGATTCAAAACCGTTGTTTCGAAGAAATTCTGCTACAAATGGTATCCTTAACCAATTCTTTTCTTCCTCAATTGTCTCAAAGCTCTTATATTTAACCTGAACCACATTCAAATCCCTAAGATTTACATATTTTTTTCAAAAGTGTCCTTGTTACACTTTCAAGTAGCCTAGTCCTTTCATCCATGGCTTAAGTAGAGTTAGTTAGTAAGGGCGATGAGGTCTTTTTACAGTTATATTCAAACTACAAATAGCATGAATCCTAAGTCCACATTTATAACTCAAGGGTATTCATTAGAAAGATATTAATAAAGTTTTCTAACTTATGGATTTTCCATGAGCAATTGTTACAACATCAATTTCAAAGAAACTTACCTCTAGTTGTACCTTTCCACCACCTCCCATTCCCTCCAATTCAACTACCACCTCATGTGAATTTCCTGGTAAACATGGTTCATAAGATAGCATCTGGACATTAATACATTTATAAACTGCAGTTATCCTTCAAATGTTACAGTATAACATCAAGGGTATTGGAATAATATACTGTGCTAACTTCATAATGCCACTGAGATTTTATTTTGAGTTTGTTTGAGATGCAAAGAAGCTAAAGACTTATTAAAGCATCCGAAAGATGAAGAAAAGAGAAAGAAGAAAGCTCACCATCACATATGGACTCCAAGCTGACAATGGAATTGCCCATACGTTTATGAGGGGCAACAAGATTAGCATCCCAAGCTGCAACCTGAAGTTAAATTGGTATATCACATAAATTTTGAGGATCCAAAATGAGTTCTATATGGTTTGATGACACAACAAAATCTCTAATGCAAGTATTAACAGAACTAACAAAGATGATACCATCTTAAACTTGAATAAGACATAAAGTGGATACTAAAATTATCCACTTAAAATGCATTGATAACCTGAAGGTTGATGGTTGGTGGATGCTTGATGAATAATGTGAGGTCTTCATTCCAAGTTGGTTCCCTTGTCCTAACAAAACACACAAAAAAAAGCTTTTAAAGAAAAGATTAATTCAATACTTAAGTTTAAGTTTATTTGTTACTAGAGTAGAAAGTACATTGATTTGTCTTTCATCACAGAAAAAGGAGAATAAGCTCACCCCCATTTAACATTGCTCTTCACAACCTGACTATCCAATTGCAAAACCACATAAGGATCACTTGTTCCCTGAAAGCAGAAACTGGGCAACACATGAGAACACTTAAAACATGGATTTTCTGATCCCTAAAAAGTGACCAAAGATGTAAATGTATAGACATTTCATCTAAAGGAAAGATATGCAGAAGAGAGGTTACCCATGGATCCATGGCAGGAAAATCATAACCCTTCTTAAGCTTTATAAACACCTGTCCATCATAAATCTCACGAAGAAATGACCTGACAAAAGAAGTTAGGGCTCCAGTTAAATTAAAGCAACTCCCAAAAATTTGTTTTTTCTCTCAATTCAACAAGAAAAATGAAATGAAATCCATTTATATATAAGGGAAAAAACAGATGATAGCATACTCTGAAAGAATCACAGTCTGACAACCAGCTGCATCCACCTCGCTCTTTCCAATATTTTCCTGATAAACAAGAAAGAGATACAACACTTGGTATAAACTGCAAGTGAAAATACACGAATCCCTAAATGATTGGATAAAGATTGATTTGTGGCAAAAGGTCGAACAACTTACTGTAGGAGTTGTATAAGCTTCAAACGCAAACCCAGCGAGAATGACTGCACGATTGATATCAAATGGAGGCCGTTCAATCTCTTCACGCAACAAAACGGTTTCCATATCGGTGTTTGATTTGGTGGCGTAAACAAGCGAGCATAATCCATCTCGACTTCTAGTATTCGGAATTGAAAGCCTGAGCTTCAGAGAAAAGGGGGAGATGACATTAGGGTTTCGAATGAAGGGAAATCTTGGTAGATTGAAATTGGCAGTGGAGCAATAGAGACAGTGAAATTGTGTTTTGTAAGATTGAACATTGGTAGCCATGGATAAGAACAAAGAAACGACGTGAGTGTGTGAGTGTGTGCTCAGGAAGAACTGTATAAAGTGTTAAGAAGAAGAATGAGAAGTCTAGATGTCTCCACAACGGCGGTTATCGTAACGTTAAAACATTGGCGCCAAGTGACTTAACGGTCAATTACTAAATTAGAGACGCTTCATTCTTCAACGTTATGGAAATCCGAAAACACACGTTTGTTTGTAATGTATGTGGAATGGTCGAGGTCGACGATATTCACAATCATGATACCAACCAAGACAACCAAAATTCCCTGAAACAAAAACTGTAATAAGTTTTAGCTAAATATGTTTATTTTATTTTTTTCTATAAATCATTATTTCCAATTAAATAGTGATATGTATATATTTAATGATCCACTCTAATAATAAATGAATTTTTTTTTCTACATGTCACACTCTTATTCAGTTTGTCAAATGTTTTTCTGTGGTTATTTAAATTAATTTATTTTTCACATATCATTTTATGAGTTTTTTTATTTTAATAAATTCTATATAATAATAATTATAATAAATGTAGTAATAAATTAATATGAATTTCATGGATTTAAATTCTCATTTCAAAATAATCAAATTAAAACTCTTTAATTTATTTATTTAAATTTAAAAGATAAAAAATCAATTTTAATAATTCATTATTTTTCTTGTTTTCTTATAAATTTAAAGTTCTTAAAGATTTAGACTTTTATATTTAATTTTTTTTAATTACCCATGTAATACACATGTTTTACACCTAGTATTTTAATATATTAATATGACTCATGTAATCATTTAATTGGATAAAAAAAATTTATAAAAACAAAAATAGAATGATATTTAATTTCACTTTTATTTATAAAAGAAAATTAAAATTCAAAAAATTTCTATATTTTGAACCAGCATAAAACTTACCTAAAAGGATCCTAGTCTTACATCCTTCATTCCTATAACATGATTTGGTTAAAGCGAAAACAAATATTTTTGTGTCTATGCATGGACACATATATTTTTTAACTCTGTGTTTTTTTAAATGTCTAACTTATAAATGTAATCTTACAATGATACGATAGTCTGCATATCGTAGTGTTCTTTATAAAAATAACTTTAGAGTTTGGATTGTTCCATTCGTAAAGCATTTTTAAAAGATGAACATGTGATTTATTGTATATAGTTAAGCTTGATGAAAGACTTCATTTGATTGTAATATGTTTAATCATTATGATCCTCGAAGCATCCATTGTTGAATGGTTAAAGCATTCAACTTATAATTGGCAAATTAGAAAGTTCAATTACTCCAGTTGTCTGTAGTAGGACTTACCAATATTTATAATGGAATTAGTTTTGTACCAACTTCATCATCATAGATAAAATATTGATGTGGTATATTAATATCATACTATACGAATGGTAAGAATTAGGAGTCTTATTGAAATTAAAACGCATAAGGAATCTAATTGATTTAAAGATTGACTCGAGTATCTAGTATTTAAAGTATTCAATTATTATGTGTGTATGTGTGTATGTGTGGGGGTGGGGGGAGGAGGGATGGGATCAATATACCTATAACATTGAATCAAGATCAAGTAGGACAAAATTAAAGCAATTGGTCGAAAGCTTCTTCGGATTCACGGTAAATGCGATAAATAACTATTGAGTTTGGGAAAGAAGAATGTGACCAATTATGTAATAAACAATGTATTATATGATCATAAGACTTCAACCTGATTATATAATATTCCATATAACTTAGTAGCTTTTTTTAATATAACTAAGGAAACGTATAAAGTACAATGTTATACTTAAAGATTTTTCGAGATGCAATACCTTACTAAAGATGATATGGGTTCTAGTTTTGGAAATCGAGGAACCTGTAACATCCATATTTTTGGACTAGAATTTTTAGCCATTTTAGTAGAAATAAAATTTTGAAAAAATAAAATGAAAAATAAATAAATATGATTAAGTGATTTAAATCATAAAATAAACCAAACATTTGAGGAACTAAAGGTTTCTAGGTTACTTGAAAGTTAATTATGAAATAAAACTAAAATTTAAGATATAAAGGGTAAAACTGTCGATTTGGTAAAATTTAATTACTTATGACTAAAAGTTTTAGGAAATAAATGGAGAGAGACTATGAATAGGAATATATATTGTTAGTTATCTAGATATATGTTGGTCAAAATGAGAAAATTATGTCTAAAGAGACCAATAGTGCTATGTTGAGAAACTTTGGTCATAAGGCGGGGTGTTCTCTTTAGATGTTCCTTTGAAGATTAAGTTCAAATCTCATCATCTCTAGTACATAGAAAGTAAAATCTCTCTATAGAATTCTTTGATCTCCATAGCTAGGGTTTAAGCTTAAGCTCAAATCTGATTTTCATGTTTCATTTAGTGAATTAGTTGAGTTTCTAGTTGCTATTCTTTCCATAAAACATCATTACATGAACAACTCTCATTATAGTTACTTGATTGAAGCTTTGATGGAGAATTTTGGGATTTTCTAACCTCAGGTTCTGATTTGAGTAAGGATTTGATGAATTAAGTGATATCTAGATTAGATTTTGAATTAGGAACATTAATTTATGTTAAAAATTTAAAGTATTGCATCTAGTGGTGTTTATTGAGTTCACTTGGAGTGTTATTGTCACAACTAGCATTTTGGCTAGGAAATTCTAGTCTCATGTAAACATTCTCTGTTGTGATACTTGTAAACCCTAATTTTATAGTGTAACATATGCTCATTCAACCCTAATTTTATAGTGTAACCTATGCTCATTCAATGACAACAAACTTAATCAACATTCTTCAGTAAAGCTCAAAATCTTATACGATACATCTCTTATAGTCAATTATGTGATAAAACCCTAAAAATTCTGGTTCAAGTTTAATATGAACTAGGATTCTCTTATTGGGCTCTAATTAGACTCACACTTGTAAAACTTTAGCATTTTGGGCCATGTGGACCTAAAAGGACTCTCTTATCCCTAATGGGCCTTGTTGGGCCATAAATGATTCCATTAGTCCTAATGGGCCGCAAATTACCTATTAGACTTCTATTGGGCCGTAAACCCCCCCCCCTCCCCCAAGGGCCTAATGGGCCTAAAAATATTATTAGATGATCGGTGATATAGATCATGAGACGAGGGTGAGGGGTGAAATATGAGAGAAGCCCTTACCCAAACGTTGGCGCCCATTATCCAACAGAGTATGGATGACAACCATGGACTATTCTAGATGGTCCGTGGAACACTAGCAGGCTTGCAACCTGTAGGTGTGTGAACTATATGTTCATAAGATGTATTCTAAAAACCGATTGACATGTATTGTAGGTGGATTCCCGTGAATAATATTATCGATAAATGAGAGCTATGGACTTAGCACATGTTGTATAGACCCTGGCAGCTATGGACTTAGTGCCTGTTGTATAAACCATGGCGATAATGTAACTTCGTGCCTATTCCTTAGGATGAATCCTTAGGAATGAGTGATAGATGATTCTCAGGGTAAATCCTTAAGAGATAAAGAAGATAATGGGAATGGGTAATTGGGTTAATTGTTTGATGATAAAACATAATAACTTTACTATTGTGGGTTGAAAACCCTATGTACTCACCAGGTTTTCCAACCTGACCCACTCAGTTTATTTGTATTACAGGTGTCAATATAAAGCCACACTACACCGAGAGATTTAAAGAGACGTAGATCACTAATGTAAATGAATGTAAGTTCTTGTTTGGCTGTCAAACCAACAAATAATAGGATAAAATAATATTAATAAAGCTCAAATCACTGTTATTTCTTATACTAAAGATAGTATAGAGTAAGCAGGGTCGGTACACAAGGATACACGACTTCTTATCTTCCCATATTTTCACACTTAATACAAATAATATTAAAATGGGGGCTTGTGTTTAAACTAGATTTAAACTTCATAAATAAACAAGATTATTAACAAAATTTAATAAAAGAAATACATTTCCGATTCTGATTCTTATACATGTATTATGTTGAAAGATGCAAAATGAATATGATTATGTTCTATCTAGGTTGGTAATTTAGATACTAATTAACTCTAATATCCAAGTTGACAAAATTGTTTTATTCAAAACATGTTCTTCAAATAAAACTTCATTTAATTGATTTAATTCAAATAAGCTCTTTCATCAAATCATTAAATGACTTTAAGTTCTTGCAACAATTACCAACAATATTCAATATTCCTCATAATCTTGGGATTATGAACATTTAATCTTTGATTACACTCAGTTTGATTCAATTACAATCAATTAAGTGCATGTTACTAACATCAAATCATAAAGCATATACAGATTTTACAATTTGATTAACTAGATTGATAAAAATCCTAATTCATTGATCAAGTGAAAAAGAGAATCAACCAAACACATGATTAAGATCAAATCAAAGATTACTAGATGTTAAACACAAATCAAGTTCAAGTTACAATCTAACAGCACATACATAAGAATTCAGATTCGGAAATGATAATGAAATCAACCACACATGTCTAGGTTAAACTACAAATCAAACAAGTTTAAACTTCAAATTGACTTACAAAAAGGAAATTTAAGTGTTTCCAAGTGTTAATCTACTTCCAAAAGTTCTGAAAATCGCCTTCTCTCTGCCCAAAATCCAACTTAGCTCCCCACTAAACTGATTGTCTGAATTATATGAGAGTAAAACTACTTTAAAACTGTCGAGACGTTTACATGGCCCGTGTAAACTAAAGGGTGCCATTTACACGGCCGTGTAAACTAGAAAAGTAGAATGCTCAATCCGTCCAGGCCTTCGAAGTAGAGTGCTCCTGTATATGCATTTACACGGCCCGTGTAAACTATAAGCTATCATTTACACAGCCGTGTAAACTCCCGTGAAGCCAAATTCTTTATTTCTTCACACTCTCTCTCTCTCTCTCTTCAATGCTCCAAAACTTCTGAAACTTTGTCTCCAACTCTTTTTAACTTCCCTCATCAAGATCCAACCTTCAAAAATCCCTGAAATATCATAAAAGTGTGTGAATGGAATTGCATCATGAAAAATCCCGAAAAATATGCAAAATGCATGAGTTTAAACCTAAATGCAATGCACTTTTATGAACTAAAACTACAAAATGAATGCATAAAATGCACCTAACAGTATTGTTTATGCTTATGTTTCTGTATTGACGATGACATCCCAAAGTTTTAATATGAACAAAATACATTTTTTCGGAAATTATTTGATAATAAATTTATCATGTTTTCTGGGAACA